CTTTGAGTTGATCTATCACTTAATGCTCTTTTTTCAGCACAAAATCGTTTTTGGCGTTCAGCATTACTTAATACTTTTCGCATTGTAGCATGTTTTTGTGACTTTTCTTGTGTATGTTGCTCATGAACGTCTGCCACAACTTATATATATTTTTTCAATTAAATTCAAAACGTATTTATTATATATTATTGCAAAGCAGTAATGATGTTCATTATTTTATGTTAAATATGAAAGATTACAAAATATATATCTAAATACTGATAATTTTATCAACATGCATATTTTTGGCAGTGAACTGCTAGAATATACCAAACCACAGTCCACTTGCGGAAGTTTTAAACTTATATTTTTTCCACTTCTGAGGGCGAATACGGATTATCAGGGGCAATATTGGGCATTGGCATTTGAGGAGAAAATGACGAAAATCGCCGAAATATAATTTAATAACCGAGATTCGAAAATCGATTACTTGAAGACGTTTTCGAAAAGGATGTTGGAATCGCAAATGTTTATCGGAGCTTATCAGGCAAAATGTTGTGTGAAAGCTTTTGACTCATACCGATACTCATACGTACTGAATCGACTCAGAGGAAATTAGCTTTATTTAAAGGACCTGCAGGATACAGCTCGTGGACTATATGTAGAACCTTAAACTACATTTATTCAACTATACTAATTTAGTACTGTAACAGGCAATATTATGCTGTAAAATCAATTTGGCTATTCATAAAGACAGTAATTTAATCACCCATTATAAATCAGATCCCATTGCAAATAGTCAGAGTAGACAGGAAATGAGTATGTTTATCAGGGGCAAGATGCACCAGGAAAGCTTCATTTAACACAAAGTGGCACCGACGTAAATCTTAACATCTAATTGTATTGGTGTGCATTGCATAAAATTGATCCACTCTAGGCTTAATGATTATTAGAGGATACAATCTATAACATTTACATGATCGGTTAAAAAATGCGTACGTAATTTAGGCTGTCAATTAATATTAATGATTACCTTTGGGTTTTTACTACGAATAATTGCATGAAAGGTAATTTTATCCGAGAAACGAAGTTAATCTAATCTAAACGACCCGTTAATTATCTATCCCGTCGTGTTTGTTAGGTTGATACCCTGTACTGATGCTTAGACAGTCCAATAAAAAGGTTCTGAATACTTCACCAACTCAATTTAACCGCACTTACTTAGCGAAAGTACTTCGAAAAATGTTGAATCTTTTTAGCAACTGAAGAACGTAAAGTATTGAGTTGCAGAAGTGAGTCAAGTAGAATTAACAATAAAAATGAAAAATTGGAAAAATTCACTGTTTTACTGGTTCTGTGCACAGACAAACAGATAGCCAAAGTCTACTCTCAGTACAACTCCAATATGAAAGTACTCAGAGAAAACTCTAAGACTCTAACTAATTAATGCAATTACGGTATCCAGAGCTTCTAAATACCTTTATGCCTCAAAGGCGACCAAACCGTAAATCAGTCGCTAAAGAATCCTCAATATTGGATCTGAGGAAATACCGGATGTCGATCGAAGCGAACTAGGAAAAGCCATCAAGCGGATGAAGAACAGAAAGACACCAGGAGAAGACCATTATTGCTGAAATGCTGACGATGGGAGGGCAACTATCGACCTTCCCTCATATCTCCATAAACTCTTAAGTGAGGGTGGAGATGAGGAGTGGATAAGGGTAAGGTAAGCATAATAAGTAAGGTTCTTGCTCTACTCTACTTTATTGTATATTTTATTTTATTTGACCGGAACAACTTACAAAAAGTTACAAAAGCTAACGCCGCAGCGAAGATGCGTTCTAGTCAATGCAATGATACTGCAGCAGTACAATTTCGGATTCTCTCCAGACATTAAGGCAAATGGTATTATCGAGACAGTAATAACCGTTTTCTCTAATGATTCCTAAAGTGTACAAAAAGCGTTTCCAGACTAGAGTAATAGTTCAACTCGAAATTGCATGTAGACGATTGAAAAGTTCAGGAGCGAACTTCGGAGCGCTTTCATTAGCTAGAAAAAGCTGAAGATAACTCTGATGATTATGAGCTTGTCCATACATGGATCTAGGGAAATTATTCTGCAATACAGTAATGTAAGTTGAGACGGGAAACTAGTTGAGAACAATTTTGTTCGCAGGTGCAGAAATAGTCCACTGTTTTAAGTGTACTTTCTATTATGCTTATCTCCTTAATTTAGATAATAATTCCCTTTACCCAAACTGTATCTCATTGCAGGGTGAAATTGCTTGTAATCGAATAACAGAAGCAACACAAGAAAACTAATACGCAAAACAGTGTGCATTTCTGATATAATGATATAACCGCCAAAGTTTAAAAACTTATTTGCCTGAAACGGTTACAAATTTTAGAGGAATCTTTAGGCCATTCTGTGCGTGGGTTCCCTGAACTGTTTTTTCTTAATTTGGCTCCTCATCTCTCTCGCAATCTCAAATTTAAGAGCGAACGGAAAAGTTGTAAAATTTTATGGACATCTCGATTTTAAGAGATATCATGGAAGAGGCTAAAAAAACCTTTTACTTAGAGCGCTTTGGGAACTTCCTGTTCATAATTACACATTTTATTTACTTACTAAAATAGATCAATAGCAATAGACCAACATGCGAAAATAGGTGCGCTACCATTTTCAAAAAACAGCTACATAAAATCTTCAAAAAGCTAAATCCAAACTTGGAAGAAAAAAAATGCGTTTAGTAGAGCAGAAAATCTGTCCAAAGCCATGTGATTGAAAATCAAAAGTGGCGAACCCATAAAACTTTAGTTGCCTTCCGAAAAACTAAACTAAAAGGATTTATAGATTAGAAATCGTTCTTACCAGCTTTCTGCAAGCTGGCGCCCCATCCCCAAAATTATATCCATTGCTCTACAAAAAGAATCACACTAGATCACACAATAAAAATGCATTTCGAATTATAAACGTCCCTTGAGGGTTACAGTGATTCTATATTTTCCATCTAAGAACGCGATTCACAGGACACAAAGGACTGACTGAACTGAAAAATATCTAACTTGATTTCGACACGTGCCTAACTCTGAGTCTTTTGGTAGATTTTCATAAAATTTTGGAGTTTTATAGCTTGAGTTGTAGTTAAAATAATGCCTAAATAGCTGATACACATTCGGTCATGATTTGGGAATGTTTCGCGTCGCTCGCACCGATAATAAGGCCGGAATAGTATAGAATATTTGACTTTGAGCTCGCAGATGTTCTTTTCTCGAATTTGCTTGAAATTCGGAGCCTCTACAGATTCATTTTTTGTCAGAAGGTTGGCGACACAACAACAGAACGTTGGTTGGTCGATAAAACAACATTGCACGTTTTCACGTTTGTTAGATACACCAGGACTTAAAGTTCTTTTTGGTGTGAAACGGTCCTTAAAGCGCACTCACGCACAACCTCTTAAAAAAAATATTGCACTATATGGTTTCATCATCGTTTGCCCTAAACATGGAAAGCTTGCAATAAAATATGCATGCTTTGTTTTATGGGATATAATCTAAATATTCCGAGTAGAATATGGCTTTTTACGACTTGACTCGGGATAACTTGCCGCCTTGAATACTAACCCCATCAGAATGTTAACCTGATTTGGTGTCAGAGCAAAGCCTAATTTTGCCATTACGACTACAGTAAAACCGACATTTTACTATCTTTGAGTCAGAAGTTACTGCTTTCTCATCAAATTGTAGGCGACGAGATGCTTTTTGAAATGGATTGCTTCGGTTTGATCTAACCAATATGTGAATTTTATTGAAACGAAAACATATAGTGACTAAAGTCTTCAATTGTAGATAAGTTCTATATTGTTGAGGCGGATTCATTTTTTTACAAACTTCTTTTTGGGTATTGTAATAATTAACATTACCTTTATTAATTTAAACAATGAGATTAAGTCAAAGTCACATAACTGACAAATTAAACAGACGAATTATCAGAGCGAATTTTCATATATCGTATTATCCTACTATTGTTACACAATTTATTAACATACTCTTTTTTAGGCTGATTTAGATGATGATTAAATGCTATCAAAACTACTAGTTTAATTTTTTTACAAACTGCTTGTTGGGTATTTCGCCTCAAAAATGTTTGTCTTTAAAAAAGACAGAATTTCCTCACGTCTTTTATTACAGATTGATAAA